TGTGTGTGTGTGTGTGTGTGTGTGTGTGTGTGTGTGTGTGTGTGTGTCAGCTGCTGACCCTGCAGCTTGTCAGCCCTCCTTACTTATTTAAGTCCCATCATGCACATCTCTCTCTCTTTATGTAAGTTACTGTCTCTCTACCAGTCCTCACAGTCTGACACACACTGCTGCTAATGGACCCTGTGTGTGTGTGTGTGTGTGTGTGTGTGTGGACCTTATGGACAGGGGGGAGGGGGAGGTAGACCTGTCTGGGGGGGTCGGAGATGAAGAGGAGAGAGAGGAAGAGGAGGTGGTGAAGGGTGAAGATGAGGTGTAGACGTCTCTCTGCAGAGAAAGGTCTTTTAGGTAATTGAAGGACACTGAAACTCTTTCTGGAGCTTTCCTCCAAATCTTGCGGTCTTCATCAGTAGGGATGGGTATCGTTTGGGTTTTTTCCGATACCGGTGCTAAAACGGTGCCTGAACCGATACTTTTTTCTTCAAATTGAACAATATATTAACAGTTTACAGTATACTTAAATAAATATAAATAAATGCAAAACACACACACTCTGTACACACACTACAGCTTCAAACTTCAGCAATTATTTTGCAGAAATATGAGCATATTTGGCAAAATACGACACCTCTACTGACTTATTTGAGTTTACCAGTTGGTGGCGCTAATGCGCCAATTCATCGTTTGCCAACCGCCACTACACCTCAAAGAAGAAGAAGCTTTCGCGTGCCTGTGGATGTTGTGCTTATGAGCGGCAGCGCTAAGTACCCGGTTGTAATAATACTATGAGTGAGGAGCGGAGGACCGAGGCTCTCGTTACCTGCTGCCAGGACGGAGTCATCAGAGTAGTGTAAAAAAGTATTTCAATCGGCTCAGGCACCGAAAGGAAGCACCGAAATCTGCGTTGCGTTTCGGTCCGGTAGATACCGGTCGTATAGGAACCCTATTCATCAGTCTTCGTTGCTAAAGCACTACCGTGCTAATTCACTCACGCTTTCGTGTGTGAGCGGCTGCATCCACCTCTAGTTATGCAACAGACCTTTAACTGACGCAGTGACACACACACAGGATTTTGTTCTGAGGCGTTCTTGCTTTAATCTTAATGAACAAGGACAATCAGCTACTCGCCTCGCGAACTGAAGCTATTTATATACACACACACACACACAGATGTGGGATTTGAACCTCAACCTTCTGAAGACAGTAGAGGACAGAGGACAGACAGGATGTTGTCACATGTTTGTGATCACATCTCGGACTCTGTGTTTTATTGGAGGTTTAACAGTTCAGATCAAACTCATCTGGATCAGAATGTTTATATATTTATTTTGATAGTTGTTCTCCGTTAGCTAAAGTATTAAGTCAGTACCGGTTCTTGAGTTGGTGCTGAACCGCCATGTTCAGAACCAACTCTGTTTCACGTATCAAAGTCACTTCAGCTGGTTTGATTCTGTCGAAAAAAACACTGACGTCCGGTGATGTCCAGTGACATATGGCGACATCTGGCAACGTCCTGTGACGTGTGGTGACGTCCAGTGACATGTGGTGACGTATGGCGACGTCCTGTGACGTATGGTGACGTATGGCGACGTCCTGTGACGTGTGGCGACGTCCTGTGACGTGTGGCGACGTCCTGTGACGTGTGGCGACGTCCTGTGACGTGTGGCGACGTCCTGTGACGTGTGGCGACGTCCTGTGACGTGTGGCGACGTCCTGTGACGTGTGGTGACGTATGGCGACATCCTGTGACACGTGGTGACGTGTGGCGACGTCCTGTGACGTGTGGTGACGTATGGCGACGTCCTGTGACACGTGGTGACGTGTGGCGACGTCCTGTGACGTGTGGCGACGTCCTGTGGCGACGTCCTGTGACGTGTGGCGACGTCCTGTGACGTGTGGTGACGTATGGCGACGTCCTGTGACGTGTGGTGACGTATGGCGACGTCCTGTGACACGTGGTGACGTGTGGCGACGTCCTGTGACGTGTGGCGACGTCCTGTGACGTGGTGACGTATGGCGACGTCCGGTGACAAACTGTGGACAAACTGTCATTGACTTAAGGTCAAATATTTGAGGTTGTTATATGTACATACTATATGTACGCATTCTGAAACAACGGTTCGTATGATATCTTATGAAAAAGTTTTCCTATTGAAGTCCAGCAACACGTGTCGATTCCTGCTCGTCTTGTCAACATAACTCCATCAGTGTCGATACTGAAGTACAGAAGTTCTGTGACAGATGAATCAACGTTGGTGGTGGTGGTGGTGCCGTCTATTGAACAATTTAAAAATAGTATTACCGAAGTTATTCAACATTTATTTATTGGTCAAAGAATCTCAGATTTTAGTTGTTTTTGTGAAACGTTAATTTTTTCTTATTTGTGGTGGATTTGAATGAAATGTTAAGGTTTTGTTTCAGGTTCTGATGTTTCATAAAGATCTGATCTTGACTTTAGTGTCGTTGTGTTCTGAGCATCGTCCTTTTGAAGTTCATTTGGTAGAAATGGAGCTAAAGACGTAGTTGGATCTGTTGATGATCAGACAGATTCAACTAATACTTCATGACAAATGATCAGGTGATCCGAGCAGTTGACACCCTGTGATTGGCTGTGTGAACACGAGTCACATGACCCAGAGAGAGAGGCAGCAGCAGCTGGTCCCCGTGGACGCTCGAGACAGATTAAATGGAACAAATGGCTTCCATCATAATTAAGCTCCATTTGGACAGATTAGTTTCTCCACAGCGGGAAGAGAAACCGTCATGATTCACTGTGTTCTGACCATCGCAACCTGCTGCAGGGTCACTGAGGCCTTTTTACAAATTCACAGATCTTAAATACATATTTATTTTGGAGTTTAGATCCCAGATGTGTGCTCCCCATCTCTCTAATGGTAGACTAGACCTTAACAGGCATTAATTCACTGAAAACTACTAGAAGGAGCTTTTATGTAGTGTTGGTTCTGGCGTCCCCTGTGGACTAAAGTGGTAGTGTTTCTGCAGCAGGTCTGACATCCCATCGCAGCTCCTTTCAAGGATTTCAAGCAGGAAACAACCTATTGTTCTTTAAAGTGAAGTCAAAGCTTCATGTCTTAAAGCTGCATTGTCTCTAGTGTCCACCAGGGGGCGACTCCTCTGGTTGTATAGAAGTCTATGAGAAAATGACTCTACTTCTCTCTTGATTTATTACCTCAGTAAACATTGTAAACATGAGTTTATGGTCTCAATCTCTAGTTTCAAGTCTTCTTCAATACAGCATGATGTTCATTTAGTACATTATGGTCCATTTAGAGTCACACAGACCATAAAGCAGGGGATGCTTTAGGGCGGGGCTACACAGTGATTGACAGCTCTCTAGACGTATACGGCGTCTCTACGTCACTCCTCCTCAGTCCAGATATGGTCACTTCCTGTTCACTGGTTGTAAAAAACAAGATGGCGACGGTTGTTTCCTTCTCTCTGATTGTCACGACCTGGCTCTGACAGCCATGACCTAATCAGGGAGACGCAGACCGTTTACCAAAAGCAAAGAGTTTTATTCGACATAACAAGTCATCCAACGACAAATGGTGTTTCACCACGGGGTGATAGGAGAGCGCCCCCAGGTTGCCAGGAAGGCGGAGCCTTAAAGTGGAAGCGCACCGGGCCCAGGTGCCTCCACTTAGGGTGATCACCACCTCTGGTACCTGCTGGCTTAAAGGAACATACACAAGTAACCCAGATAGGGAACCGTCACACTGATGGATCTCTCTCCAGCTGAACTCTGTCCATCTCTCCGTCCCCTTCAGGTCTTCGTAAAGGTCGGTTCTGGATTACTCCGGACCCGTACCACAACGACGACAACATCCAGATCGGCCGCGAGGTGAAGATCAGCTGCCAGGTGGAGGCCACACCCCCCGAGGAGCTGCAGTTCGGTTGGCTGAAGAACGGCCGTCCTCTGAGGAGCTCTGAGAGGATGGTGATCACTCACACCGACACCGAGGTCACGCCGGGGACCACCAACCTCGACATCATCGACCTCAAGTTCACCGACTTCGGCACCTACACCTGTGTGGCCTCGCTGAGGAACGGAGGAACTCCCGAGATCAGCATCGACGTCAACATCTCCTCCACCACAGGTGAGGAGGAGAGGAAACATTGGAGGAGAGATTAAAGGAGGGGAGGAAACAAGAGAGGAGAAGACAGGTGAGGGAGGAAAGAGGGAGAGGGAAGGAGAGAGGAGGAAGAAGAGGGGGAAAGAGGAAGGAGGAAGTAGAGAAAGAGAGGGGGAAAGAGAGAATGGGAAGGAGAGAGAGGGAAGCAGAGGAGGAAGGCGAGAGGAAGAAGGAGAGACCTTTTGAATCCTGCTCAGGTTTTTCTTATAAACAAGGCTCCAAGTGAATCCCTGTGACAACAGGCTCCGCCCATCAGCCTGTCACATGACGTCCTAAATTACCTCATTCTCTCTTTCCTCAGTTCCTCCAGAGCTGTCCGTCCCCATGGGGCGCTCTCACCTGGTGGCTCAGGAGGGCAGCACCGTGGACCTGCAGTGTCTGGTCTCTGGTAAACCCAAACCCATCATCCTGTGGTCCCGGGTGGAGGAGGGCGGGGGGGCGGTTCTGATGCCGGACGGCTCGGAGCAGACGGAGAGCTACGATGGAGTCCTGAGGGTCCACAACGTCACCAGAGACATGAGCGGAACCTTCTGCTGCCAGACGAGTCAGTACAACGGGTTCAACGTGAAGCCCAGAGAGGCTGTGATCACGCTGGTGGTGCAGTGTGGGTAATACACTCATATATACACTGTACACACATTATGTGTATATATATATGTATATATATATATATACATATATATATGTATATATATATATATATATATGTGTATATATATATATAT